ATTGGCTGCTGCATTCACCCCTCAAATATATGGTCTTATCCCGAAAACTGCCAAACCTGATCTGGGCTTTATTTTTCTAACCAATAATCATTTTGTGAAGCTCCTTTTTTGTAAACCAGAAATCATACATCAAATCTGGTTGCTGAATATCACCAGTTAGTTGTCATATCTGCAATTATGTCAAACTCTCAGTTAACATGTTACTGACATTACTGTCTGGTGTAGTGACTGTTTCTATAGGCAAATTACTTGTACGTTGCTATTTGCGCTCAACAAGGTTCCACTAACAGCCGTTATCTGAATACTAGTTCATCTGGAGGTTTGTCGGCTAAGACAGAGAGTCTCTGAACAAGTAGCCATTTTAATAGCTCATAAGCACAGCATAAGAGTATCAGCCAGAGCTGTGACCTGAAAGCTTGATATGGAGGGACAAGGTTAAACTCCTAGCCTTCTAACACAAGACTGCTGCCAATTGAGCAAGGAATACAGGAACATAGGAAGTGCTAGACGAAAAAAGATCAAGGTCCATCTTGTTCACCTTCTACTATCCTGCTGCAATAATAGGGATGTTGATAGCAGGCAGATAAGCAGACACTTTGTGCTCAGTAGCAACATGATAAATCACTGTGTGATAAGGTCCATCAAAACTTTTCCCTTTTCAACCACAGTACTGAGTGTGTATTTGAGCTGGGGTATCGTACAAGTGTTGACTTTAGCTTTGGCTGCGCCTCAGTTGAATTCTCTGTAACTTAGGCCATGGATGTGTTTTTTACAAACACAATGCTCTTCAGCTGCTGAAGGATTGCTTTAGTTAAGTTCACACATACCAACCTTTCACTGATCCATGTTATCTGTCAGACTAAGCGACAGGTTGCATGCACTCTGCTCACTGACTGTTGGCACAGGTGGCTGCTGGAAAAGCAATGACAGAGTACAGGAAACCTCATCCCATGGTCCTTTTAACACGAGTGGTTTATAAAGATGAAGCGAGCTTGTCCTGGTCAATAGATAAATTGTTGCTTCCCCACCATGGCTGTTTAGGGGATCTTGCTGTGCCCCAAAATTGCTGCCTACAAAAAAAGAAGTCACTGGACTTGAGAATAATTAGCGTTACCTGAATTCAAGAGACCCTTACCACAAACTGCTGCTAAAAGTAGTTTGGTAACAAAGCCAAGCTAAATGATGTGGAGAAACAAACAGTTGTATTGTTAGCTGCAAGGTTGGGTCAGGGTTGCCTAGCTAACCACCATCCGGGTAGGACATGGCGGAGGCTACTCTGCTGTTGGTTTTTGCCTGTGGCAAAGTGTGACCGAAGTGTTAGTGGCTTCTGTGTCAGCGCTCCGAGACGCTATCCCGCATGGAGGCTGCTATAGAATTGCAAGTCGTGTAGTGAAAATGAAGAAGGCAGAAGTTACGAGTGTGACTGATCGCTTCACTTTTATTTCTGAAAATGTCAGAATGTCTGTCAGACATCTCCAGGATAAGAGCTAACTTTCTACAGTTGAACATCAACAAGACTGAGGCCTTCCTGGTTGGCTCACACCAGCGCCTCAGCACCTCAGCATCCACAGATGCACACTTCACCTCACCAAGCCAGTCAGGAACCTGGGGGTCTTGTTCGACCCTCAGCTGTCCTTTCTCCCCATATCCATGCCATGCCCGCTCTGCCTTTCCCCATCTCTGCAACATTGCCCTGCCTCACCCTCTGGCCGCCGAAACCCTCATACACGCACGCATTCATCACCTCAAGGCTCGACTACGGAAACTCACTCCTTGTCGGCCTCCGCAAGCATTCCCTCCACAAGCTGCAGATCATCCAAAATTCTGCAGCTTGTGTCCTCTCCCGCACCAGGCTACATGACCCCATCACCCTCACCCTCATCCGCCTCTACTTCCTCCCCATCCCTCAGAGGATAGAATTCAAAATCCTTGTCCTCACCTTCAAGGCTCTCCGCAGCCTTGCCCCCTCCTACCTCTCTGACCTGGTAACCTCCTATCAACCCGTCTTCTCCCTCCATTCAGCAGCTCCAGCTCGCCCCTTTGGAACTCCATCCCACAATCTCTTCGCCTTGCTCCCTCTCTTGCCTCCTTCAAGGCACGACTCAATACCCTCCTTTTTTGACCTTGCCTTCAGCCGCCCTCCTACCTCTCTGCCCTCCCTCATCCCATCCCTGTCCACCCCCCACCCCACCCTGCGCTGGGGTCCTGATCCCCAACTACTCCTGACATGAAAGGCCCTCTGATAATATCATTTTGTTGTCAATAAAATATTTTTTATTTATGTAGCTTCTCAGTAACAGGGAAAACTCAAGTCCAGTTTTTGTTGTCGGCAGTAATGTTTGCACACAGCGAGTTCCCATAAATAGCCGTAAGGCGAAGAAACGATTTATCTGTTGACCAGGACAAGCTCACTTATCTTCACAATAGTGTTTCTGAAGAACAGACACAGAGAGGACCCAGGTAAATGTCTCAATCATAGATTAGTGGCTCTGACAGTGTACCGCTCTCCCCCTAATAACGTTTTGGAGATTCAGTCTATGCCGTGAGCACAAAGACCCAATGTGGGGCTTTAACCCACAAGCTTCCGACTCCGAGGCGGGAGTGTGACCAGAGCTGAGCCAGGCTGACACTTTTAGACTGCGTTCTGTTGTGAAGTAGTAAAAAAAGCTGGTGATTTTGGGGTGGGGGTTGGGAGGGAGAATCCAGCTCCTATAAATAGCTGTAATAATCACAGCCTCTCTCTAAATCCTCTCACTCTGCTTTGGTTCGAGAGGATTAGCCCTATTTGTGTTGGGCCACGCGATCACGTGACTGTGTGAGCCACGGGCGCGTGGGCCGTTGGGGGCCGGCCTGTCCCCCTGGCCTCCCCTGTAAATGGGGGGATTAGCCAGAGCTTTGCACAACACAGGAGGTCAGAGCTCACAGGGAGGAAACAAAAGGCCACTCTTTCCAGAAGGGTTCCTGCTTTGTCGGAATGAGCTGACAGTTTGCCCAGAACTTTTTTTTTTTAAAATGAAAGGGGAACGTGACCCAATTAAGTTGTGCTTGAAATTTTAGCTTAAAGGAACAGGAATTCCGAAACGGTGCGGCTCCCGGAAAGAGAGACGTGCTTTCAATGGAGGTTGGAAGAGTTGCCTCTTTAGAGGGCTATTACTCTTGCTCTCTGCGTCTTTCGCTTTCCCCCGTGACCCCCGGAGATCTGCCCACGGTGGTGTCTCTGGGTACCAATCGGGAGTAGCAATCCTAATGATTTTGTTCTCACCTACCACTTCCCTACAGGATTCGCATCAGGTGATACCTCAGCCCAGAGCTCGATAGACTGTAATCTGTGGCACAGCTTCTCACTCACATTAAAGTAACACAGTGTTGGTTACTGTGTACTTGTGCAAACTCCCCTCTGGGCTTCCAACAGGGTCACTGTGACCTGAACACTGCTATGGAAGAAAGAACTTGATTATTTTTTTTGCACGTCTTAATGTATTTATAATAATAATGTAATCCTTGCATTTGACATAATAATAATAATAATAATCCTTAATAATAATAATAATCCTTGCATTTGATATAGCGCTTTTCACGTCGGGAGAACGTCCCAAAGCGCTTCACAGAACACACTGTAAAGTGAATTGACTGTATATTTGTGGGCGAACGCGGCAGCCAATTGCGCACAGCAATGTCCCACACACAGTCGTAGATTGAAAATGACCAATTTATTATTGTTTTTGTTTTGGAGGATTATTATTAGGCTCTGTGTGGAGTAAGGAAACTTGCCCAAGGTTTCGCCCTCTGCCTGGAATTGAACTCAGGTCTCTCACTTGCAAAGCGAGTGCTCTAACCACTGAGCTACAGGACTCCACATCTTGCTTTATCACATCGTCAAAGCATCCCAAAGTGCGTCACAGGATTTTACTGTACAGTGCAGTGACTGTATGTTTGTAGGTGACTGTGACAGCTAATTTGGCACATAGCAATGTCCCACAATCTTATTTGGGGGATTGTTGGTCAGTACAAAGAAAAAAAAAGATAAAGACACTCCATGAGTTCAACTGAACCTTTAACCTCTCCCTGAACAGGCAGGCGGGATCCTGATTTAAAAGGTTTGGAAGAAGGGCACCTCTAACTACCCTGAAATGGAGTGCAAATCTCGGGCGCCGGCAGCATCAGCATCCACGGCTGCACACTCAACCTCACTAAGCCAATTAGGAACCCGGGTGTCTTGTTTGACCCTGAACTGTCCTTTCTCCCACACATCCGCGCCATGACCGGCGCTGCCTACCACCACCTCCGCAACATTGCCAGACTCCGCCACTGTCTCACCCCTCAGGCTGCCCAAACCCTCACCCACACATTCGTCACAACAAGGCTCGATTATGGAAATTCCCTCCTCATCGGCCTTCCCAACTCTTCCTTCATCCCGAACTCTGCAGCTCCTGTACTGTCACGCACCAGGCTCCATAACTCCATCACTCCCACCTTCGCCCGACTCCACTGGCTCCCCATCCCCCAGAGGATCGAGTTCAAGATCCTCATCCTCCCTATCAAGACCATCCATGGCCTTGCCCCCTCCTACCTCTCTGACCTGATGACTCCCTACCAACCTGCCCGCTCCCTCCGTCCATCAGGCTCCGGCCTGCTCCATGTCACCCGCCCTTTCAGCCTCTCTGTCCCCACACTCTGGAACTCCATTCCACAGACCCTTCTCCTCGCTTCCTCCCTTGCCTCCTTCAAGGCCGGTCTCAAGATCCTTCTCTTCGATCGTGCCTTCGGTCGCCCTCCCACCTCTCTGCCTTCCCTCACCCCTACCCCACCTCTCCCTCATGCTCGGGTCCTGACCACTGACTGCCCAGCACCTTGGGACATCCTCCCAACATGACTATCCAGCGCCTTGGGACATCCTCCCGACATGAAAGGCGCTCTATAAATGTAATTTTGTTGTTGTATTTCCCAGTGAGTGTGGTTGTGTGGACCTGCTTGTTGAGTGTCCTCTATTGCCTCCCCAGGTACCCTCCGGAGCCCAGACATGGAGAACTCCTCAGTGGCTTCAGCCTCCTCAGAGGCTGGGAGTAACCGCTCCCAGGAGATCGAGGAACTCGAGCGCTTCATCGACAGTTACGTGCTGGAGTACCAGGTGCAGGGCTTACTGACGGACAAACCGGAGACTGATGCAGACAGCGACAAAACACCTCCAAATATCTCCCAGGTGAGTGTCCATCCCGTGTTAGTGTTGGCTTCTCATTGCTCAATAGTTCAATCAGTCACTCATAAAAAATAATCCTTAAATTTGACGTAGCTTCTTTCGTGTCAAGAGGACGTCTCAAACTGCTTCGCAGTAATCACTGTAAGTTGTAGTGACTGTATTTGTAGGTGACAGCCAATTTCATATAACAAGATCCCACAAATAGCCATGAAGTGAATGACCAATTCTATTTCGGGGACACCAGAGGAGAGAAACTCCTTTTCAAATAACATCCATAGACAAGCCCTCAGTCTGATTTGGACACACTAAATTTATATAAAAAAGAAGATGCAAGTTATTTTCTTTTTTTGTTCTCTTTCAGCAGAGGCTGAAACCAAGCAACATATTGTGATAGTTTTTCCACACTAGCAATCTTTGCTTGTATAAGATTGGAAGATTCATGGCACAAATTTGAATTTCAGGGAAACTTGCAGGTGGCACTTGATTTCAGTCTGAGTTTAATCAGATTTTTTTACCTTGTTTCTTGACTATCTTGCCTGGCTGGGTGGGGAGTAAGAAGAGCTATTTTCTATTCTGGTTGCTATGATTTCTACTGATAATAATACTTGCATTTGATATAGAGCAGTTTCATGTCATTGAAATGTCTCAATCAGTAAATCTTTGAAGGTGACAATACAGGCTGTTAAAAAAGCGAACGGGATATTCAGCTTGATAAATAGGGGCATAAGATACAAACGTAAGGAACTTATGATGAAGCTTTATAAAACAGTGGTTAGGCCTCAGCTGGAGACTGTTCAGTTCTGGGCACCACACTATAAGAAGGATGTCAAGCCCTTGGAGAGGGAGATTTACCAGGATGGTACCAGGAATGAGGGACTTCAATTATGAGGAGAGGCTAGAGAAGCTAGGATTATTTTTCGCAGCAAGTTGTTTGGATCTGGAATGCATTGCCTGAAAGGGTGGTAGAAGCAGATTCGATAACAACTTTCAAGACAGAAGTATATAGATTATTTGGGGAGGACAAATTTGCAGGGCTATGGGTTGAGAGAGAGGGGGAAAGTGGGATTCATTTGGATAGCTCTTTCAAAAAGCCGGTATAGTCACTTATACAAGCAATGATCCAAATGGCCTCCTTCTGTGCAGTATATTTCTATGATTCTATGATTCAGAATTTACTGTAGTGTAGTGACTTTGTATTTTGCAAGTGAAAACAATATTTTCCTTCTGCTCTCTTTCAACTTCTTCTGAAAGATAGAGAAGAGAAAAAAGAAAAAAAATCTTTATATATATTATGTATACGTGTTAACCTGACCTCAGTTGATAGCAATTTTGCCTCTGAATGAAACGTTTGTGGGTTCAAGCTCCATGTCAGGACTTAGATCTCGCAGTCTAGGCTGACATTTTAAAATAGTGCTGAGGGGGGTGCTGCATGTTGGAGGTGCCATCTTTTTCGGATGAGATGTTAAACCATGGCTATTGAGGGAAGTTGTTGTGTGCGAATTAGCTGCCACATTTCCCACAAAACACAGTCCCCGCACTTTACAATATATCCCGTGGAGCCCTGTGAGACGCACTCCTAAAGTGAAAGCTGCTATTCAAAATGTAAGGATTATTATATTAGTGAGGATTATAAAGAGCCGGGGAGGTACCAGGAGGACTATGTTAGATCACTGAATGGAAACGGTTGTGACACGCCATTGCTGCATTATTGTGACCTCTTCCTTGACATGTTCCGTGTCGCTCACAGTGGCCTGAGGATTTCAGTGACGCTCTGGATGGAAGTTGGCCATCCCCAAAGGAGAGGAACTCCTACAAGCAAAGCAGTCAGGTGAGTGAGTCTGCACCTCAGCCTCAAGTGCTGAGCACCCTTTGAGAATAATTTCTAGAGCCAGGAGTGAGTGAAGTAAACAGAAGACTCCTTTGCCTCTTTCTCTCTGACTGTTAACCTTTGCCTCTTCTTCTCTGCCTGCCCCAGGCACCAGGCAGTGATGCTGTGGGACCTTTGCTTTGCTCTTCTCTCTAAAGCTCTGCTCCTGATGGTCACCTCTGTATGCCCAGTGCCAAACACAGCAGGAGCGGGCACATGAATCCACATGAATCTGTGGATTAAAGGCTTTGTGTCTATATCTTATTTATTATATATACTAGTCCAATTAGATAACATGAAATGGCAGCTATTAGCAGCTGAGTCAGGAGGGCTTCAGTTCAAACGTATTTATATCCCTCTCATTCACGTGTTCCCGAGTGTGAGAGAAAGTCATAACATGCGATTTTAGAACATTCAGTGGTCACAAAGTGCTTCACACTAATTGCTGTCACCCGTAGTCACACAAGTTAGCCATTCTGTGCCTAGCCAGGTCCCACAGACAGGTATGAGGTAGGTGACCAACTCAGGTTTCTGGCATTGTTGGTCAGGACAAAAAAGTCCCCCCTCTTTCCCATCATATCATGGGTTCTTTAACGTTCTTGAACAGGCAGATGTATAAAATAGCCCCGAACAGGCAGACAGGACCCGAGTTTAACATCTCATCTGAAGGACTTCAAACCTTCAACATCCACGTTTGGTGCTGTGACCTTTAACAAAGTTTACCAAGTCTCAGGAGTACAGAGTTTTTGAGTGCTTTTAACAAAAGGAGACCATTTGTTCCTACCTGTCTGCTGGTGCTCGCTCTCCACCCCTTGGAGCTCTCTTATTTTCCCATTCTCCTGCCCTTTTCGCATTGTGTCTGTGCTGGTGCTCGCTCCCAACAGGAGATCTCTACTCTAATCCTATTTCCGACTACGCTCTCCCCATCGTGTCTGTTCCAGATGTTGATCGCCCCCACCACTGGAACTCTGTACTCTTAACCCCATTCCCTGCTCTTTCCCCATGGTCTCTGGGCTGTTGCTTGCTCACACACTGGATCTAATAAAGATTTTCAAAAAAAATTGGAAGGATAAGTAGTAAAGATCATTCTCTAATTTGATGGATGAGTAACAAGGGAACATCAAGGCTTTATCGCTCAGACAGGCAATATTGTTCCCTCAGATGTTCCCTCACTGTTACTCTATGGCCTCCTCTATCCTTGGTTTGGGTACTTTCTTGGAAGACAGAGCATTAAATGAACGCTGGCTTCTATTTTCTTTTTCCAGGAAGAATGGGATCACAGTAGCAATGGGAGTACAGGCTCTCGGCCTAGTTCGGACTCCAGGTCTGGGTCTGGCTCAAGGTCTGGCGGCCGAGGACGGGGCCACCTCACAGGCAGCACTCGGCACCTGGCAAAGGTTAGACGGCGGTGACTTGGTGAGGGGTTGTTTCAAAAGAAAAAAATGCTTTTTTTTCAGTTGAGGTTGAGGCTTTATGAAGGAGCTGCCGAGCTTTACTGGGCCAAGAGTTATTGGATCCCAGCAGATCCCAAAATAACATTGTTCTCCATTGAGCACGCTGGGACGCCACCCAGGGCGCTCGATAAAATGCAAGTTGTTGTTCTAAGATGCTGGTGTCGTCTGTTGAGGGGAGTTTTGAAGGAACTATCGCCTCCCCCAACCACACCAACAACAGATTACACTTGAATGCGCCTTTCACATCGGGAGCGCTGGGAGGTTGACCTCCATCTCCCCCGTTAAAGTGGTTAGTGATTTAACCAAATCACTTCAATCCGTGAAGAGCAACTGAACTAAATTGTTGCTTTTTACACTCGAGCAGAGAGGATTGTGAGAGGGGATTTGCCAGAGGTCTTTAAAGATACTGAAGGCCCACAACTGTGTAGATAGCGGGTAAAACTGGGAAATGGGTGATAAGGGAGCGCAGTCTCAGCATTGTTGAGCAGCAAAAAACAAGAGATTAGGAGGAATTTCTTCGATCACAGGCTTGTTTCAGGGTTTGAAATTTGTTTCCACAGGCGGGCTATCAAAAGGCCAGATCAAAAGCCATTCAAAAGGTCACTTTGACAAATACCTGAGCAGTAACCGTATTGAGGGATAAGTGGAGAGAGAGCAGTGAAGTGGATTAACTTTTAAAAAGAAACAGTTTAGAACACGACAACTTGCAATTGTATAGCTCTCACGTCTCAGATAATGCCTTGTTACATGTAGCAATGGTACAGACGCGATGGACTGAATGCCTCCCGTCCTGTGCATGACTCCCAAGTTACAGTGGACTATATCATAGCTGAGGCTGTGGGCCATCAGGTGGATAATCCATCCCAAGCTGATCTTGGATCTTTTTGACAGTGAGGGTAATGCAGAGTTGGGAGCGCTTTGCACCCGAAGCAAGTCACCAATTATCCTGATTTTGCAAACTAACTAGGAACATCTGTGCTTGGCTACCAGCCGGTCTTATTCTGGGTAAAGAGCGCTTTGTTGTGTGTGATCCAGTGTGTGATCTTTCCTCCCTCAACAGAACATGCCCCCTTTCCTTCATCTCCTCTTGACTCTTGATCCGAGATCAGAAGGGACAATACTGATCCTTCACCAACAGGGCACATAACTTTCACTGGAGAAGTTTTACCATCCTGTATCTCACAATCCAGCAGATGCTGTTTTAACCCATCTCTTGCACCTTCACTTTTGACTGAGTTAACGTATCGTCTATCTCCTGTTTTCCTATTGCATTGGCTTTGGCTGGGAAAGCTCTTTTCCCCAGTTCATGGGACGACTCCCCAGTTCATGAGCTGAATCAAAAAAAAACGCTTTTGGTCCTTAAGTTATCAGCCATGGTGTTTAGTCCTCTTTCTCAACAAGTGAATGGATCCTGTGAACCACTGTACTCTTGCAGCCTTGGAATATTGTCTTGCTTCGGAGTGTTTGTGGAGTGAGTAATATGAAACCACTTAACGTTCATCTACTGCACTTGGTATTGTATTCTGACGTGTTAATCCACAGACTCCAAAATCACCTCCAAGAGACCAATTAAATGTTTACTTGACCAGGAAATTTTAATTCCATCCTTAATTCCTCTCCTGAGGAATCTTATTTTACAACAGAATTTCCCTTATGCTGATGTTCTGAGGAGCTTGTATATTGTGAGAGGACAGAATCCTCCCAACTTTTCAATTTGAGTCATTTGCTGAATTAAGAAGAAGAATCTCTCTAGAGTAAGAGAACTGAAGTTCTGGAGATAAAATTGGATAGTGGGATTTGCCAACTGAGTCCTATCAGATTCTACCTAACGTCACTCAACTGCTTGCCTCTCATCAAGCTGTTTTGTGCCCAATCTTCGTGGATATCATTTGTAAATCCATACATCACCAGATTTCCTCCACTACTCCCGGTGGTACACTGAAACTCCTCGCCTCTTTACCGCCCCCTTCTAAACCTACCCCTCCTCTTCCATACCTTGCTGCACTACTTGTTAAGTAACATGTTCCCCTGTTTCTAGAATTGTAGCCGAGAGACATCATACGACATCCTAGGGACAGACATTTGGGCTGTGAACACGTTTGACCATGTCAGGTATGCACCCTCCCTGCCGAAAAAACTCATCATCAGCTCGTGAGAGCCAGGGAAAGAGGGCAGTGACTTGGGGCGAGGGGGTAGGTGGGTATTCGAGACCATGAATAAACGGACTACAGGGAAGAGCTGGATCGGTTGGATGGGGGTGGGGTTGTTGTGCGTGGGGGGTGAGGAAACCGGGCAACAGGATAGGACACGGAGGCCGAGGGTGTCTGTGCAGGGCAGGGACTGGGCGGTTGGTGTGGTCGAGAGGTTAGTCCAGGTTGTGACTGTTCGGCCTTTTATTTGCAGTGGGGCCACATGGGACCTGCAGCCCGAGAAACTAGATTTCTCAACCTCGTTCCATCGGAAGCATTTCCGGAATGTTCCCAAACACCTGCCGCACATCGACCGGGATGGGTAAGGATGGCTCACCGCCCCTGGATTCCAATAGCTCAGGCAGATATTAACTCAGAGCATGCTCACTGTGCGCCTGGTCCAGAAAGGGAGGATGCGGCGTGTTAGTGAGACTTCTGAAATGAGATGTCTGGAGGAGGGCATATAACAAGATGTCTGGGGCGCGGAGGGGTGGGTAGGAGATAGTTGGAGCCGGGAGACAGTAAGATGTCTGGGTGAGCAGTGGGTGAAAGGTGGTGCTCACTGTCTATGTTGTTAAATAACTACAACAAATTATATTTATATAGCACCTTTCATGTTGGGAGGATGTCCCAAGGCGCTGAACAGTCAGGGATTTGGAACCGAGCTAGAGGTTGGGTTCAGGGAAGTGGAGGGCTGGGAGGGTGGTAGTAGGAGGGTGGCCGAAGGTGCAGTCAAAGAGAAGGGCGTGGGGGGTGTGAACACCTTGAGGCAAAGGGACTGTGGGATGGAGTTCCAAAGGGTTGGGGCAGAGAGGCTGAAGGCCCGACAGCCGATGATCAAGCGGGAGACATGGAGCAAGCTGAAGCATGCTGAGCAGAGGGAGCGGACAGGCTGATATGGTGTCAGCTGGTCACAGCGATAGGAAGGAGCTAGGCCGTGGAGGGCCTTGAAGGTGAGGATGAGGATTTTGAACTCGATCCTCAGGGGGATGAGGAGCCAGTGGACCCGGGTGAGGGTGGGTGTGATAGGATCACAGAGCCTGGTGCGGGAGAGGAGACGAGCTGCAGGATTCTGGATGCTCTACAGCTTGTGTAGGAAAGAATTGGGAAGGCCAATAAGCAGAAAGTTAGCACAGTCAAATCTGGACAAACAAATGCGTGAACGGAGTTTAAATTCAGTGTAGCTCAGGTAACGTGGGGGTATTGACCGGCTGGGGTTAGAGCTGTTTGGTGGGGATCCTGGTGGATGAGTCCTAATGGCTGTGCTCTCTGTGCAGGGTGGTGAAGGGGACACCTGAGGAGGATGGAAACATTACCTTGAACGACTTGGACAAAGTGCTTCCCGTCCGACAGGTAAGGCTCCAAAGGTCTCCAGCTTCCAGGATCTGTGCCGAGAAAAATGTCTGGGGACTTCTCGCTTGCCCACGCTCCCCAAGTGCATGTTGACTGCTTAGTGGGTTTTGAGTAGGTTTCAAAATAATGGCAGAGATTTGTCCCACTCGGCTTCTGTTAACCCTGGAAGCCAAAGCCCTAAAGGGGTAGGGTGGTCCTACCTGGACAAGCAGCAGGAAAGCTTGCCAGACAGTGCTCTCAATGGGCAAGTTGTGCAGTTTTACCTGGTTAGACATCTTCAATTACCCCCAGTGTACACTCTGGGGTCCCCAAACCTTGGCTCTTGCTAACCTATGCTTAATACCTAGAATTAGTTAAGCAGGATGCAAGTGAGCGTTTTTCATTCCACATGAGAAATTTTAATGCCTCATGACTTATCTATGTGGAACACTGCCTGGTTTGGTTACTTAAGCGCGGTAATGGGTTTCAGACCCGGCTGAACCAACAGCAGTGTTTTAAGTAGACTGTGGGTTAAGTGGGGGATGATAGACTAAACAGTATATGTTTTGGGTGGGTGTTGGCGCACTGTCCTTATTCCCCGGAACCCAAGCTTCAATCTCAATTTAGCAAACCCGGCATCGCTGTCCTACTTAGAGGAAAGGATCTGTCGTGTGATGTTGCAAGTCAGAGGCTGTGAGGATGACATGAGGAACTGAACCCTCCACTGTGCAGTCGGCAGTGCAGTGTTGGCAAAGCATTGACTTTGTGGTCTACTCTGCCACCTTGTGCTTGTGTTTGGTATAGCAGCTTCACTGGGCGGAGAATTGGGTGACCACTCAAAACTACCTTGGCCTTTTTTTTTCCAAATTTAACAATTCTCTTGATTTGAAAATATTTTCCACAGGTTTTGTTATAAAGGAAATGATCTTCCAAATGATGTGGCGTCCCACAGTGTAATGGTTAGCGCGCTTGCCTTGAAAGCAAGACGACCCAGGTTTGATTTATCCAGCAGAAAGTCGTAACCCGTTGATTGGCAGATCACTTTCCGGGGGTAATAATCCTTTGAAACACAATTTAGTCACTCAATTCACCACTGTTTGTGAGACATTGCATTGGCAGCTGCGTTTCACCCACAAAATACAATTTTTTTAATGCTTTTGTATTAGTCACTTGTCATAACCTTGTCACAAACTGAATTAGCAAGAATTGTATTTCTGGAGAGGATGGAAACAGCATCTCGATACTTGGAAATAATGAGATTGAGGGGTGTGAAGGAAGGCAATCGGATTAGGATGTTGAAGACAGGCTTGATTTATGTAGCATTGCCGAGCGTCCAGAATTTTAGCAAATGGTTATTTTCAATCTTTCAAGTTGTTTTTCTTTCGCTCTTGAACAATTTTTGCCAACAAAATATACAGTCACCTCACTTTGCAGTGTGTCCTGTGAAGCACTTTGACAAGTCTCGATGATGTGACAAGGCACTATATCAAATGGTAGCATTATTATTAGTAAATGCTCTGAGGTGCTACCCTTCATGGCGGCCATTATATTAAGTACAAGCTGTAGTAGTAATAATCAGCATTTGATATAACACCTTTCATGATATCCGAAACCACTCCCCAGAATATGCATTAAAGTGTAGTGACTGTGCATTTGTGGGTGAAATATGCAGAAAATCACCCTTAAGGCTATGTTTAAAATGCAATGTAAATCTAAAGCCAGGTGGAATTTCTCCTCAGTTGATTGTTTCATGGGTTGGGTGGGGGTTGGGTTTCAGTGAGGAACTTTGAGACATTCATGCTCTTTGATAGGCATAGAGGATATTCAGCACAATATGCCTGTGCTGGTGCCAGTATCTTTTTCTTTTTCCGTTTCCACCCACCAACAACTGGAGCTATCTGCTCTAATCGTACTCACTCATCTTTCCCCGAAATCTTTCACTTCTTCATTTAACCAAATCCCTTTTAATGTGATAAAATCAAGGAATGATATATCACGGAACTGGCCATCAAGTCTGTGCTTGTTTTTGTCTTCACTGAATATCAGGTGGGGTGTTTGGGCGCCACAAGTCCTGTTTATCAGCCTGGCTGGCTGGTCTGTCAACAGTGTCCTCGAGTAACTGGAGACCCGCCTGGCTCAGGAGCTGGACTGTGAGGACGCAGAGGATCAACCCAGTTCTGATATTCAGTTGTTAGGCTCATCGCCTTGGAGGAGACCCCACTTAACTCATACATGCCTTCTTTACATCCAGGCTTGACTATGCCAACGCCCTGCTTGTCAGCCTTCCCAACTCTTCCCTCCACAAGCTGTAGATCATCTAGAACTCTGCAGCTCGCGTCCTTTCCAGCACCAGGCTCCGTGACCCCATCACCCCCATGCTCACCCAGCTCCACTGGCTCCCCATCCCTCAAACGCTCAAGTTCAAAATCCTCGTCCTCACCTTCAAGGCCCTCCATGACATTGACACCCTCACCTCTCCAACTTTATCAAGCTGTCGGCTCCCTCCGCTCAGCAGTCTCTGGCCTGCTCCATGTCCCACGCCCAGCCCACACTACCAATGGCAGTCAGCCTCTATGCCCCCCACCCTGTGGAACTCTGTCCCACATTCCCTTTGCCTCGCTCCTTCCCTTGCCTCCTTCAAGGCACGCCTCGAGACCCACCTCGGCTACCTACTCTGTCCTCCACCTGTATTGTACCGGGGGTGGGGTCAGCAACACATCAGCATGTTTTACAGCATCCAAACCAGGCAGAGTTCAACCTATGTATGCCATCTATTTATTTTGTCAGCCGGGTGTCTGACACATGAGGAAACCCATCACTGTGCTAAAGCGCATCCAAACTAACCTGAGAATTCCATGTATCCCACCTACACATGGAAATCCCAGAGATAGATTGTTGAAATTAAATGTGCAGTCTTCCCCTGGAGGGATACGTGCTGCTTACCTAATTCTGGAAAGTATTAGGCAAGAGCCCAGAGCATGCGTGGGGTAACTGCTGGAATCTAACCAGCTAAATCCACATAACTCGCCATTGCGTGGAGTCCTTTAGCTCAGTGGTTAGTACTCGCCTCACACACAAGAGACCTTGGTTAAATTCCCAGTAGGGCAAAATTTTGTCACGTTTCCTTACTCCACACGCTTCTGTTTACCTAGCAGTAAGTAGGAACCCGGTTGTTAGTCGATTGGTGGATCACTTTACTGGGGGTAATAATTCCTCCCAAAAAAAAAATAAGTTGGTTCCTTTAATCCAAGACTGTTTGTGGGACGCTGCTGTATGCAATTGGCTGCCGCGTTTCGCCTACAAAAGATAGTCAATTCACTTCGCTTCTGTAAAGCGCTTTGAGACGTCTCGAAGATGTGAAAAGGTACTATATCAAATGCAAGGATTATTATTAAGGTTACCTACCCTAAACATTTGTTCATTAAATACCTCACCAATGCAGGTTTTATCCCTCACTAGGTGGGTAGCAGGTACACTTTTGGAGCCTCTATAAGCAGCTTAACATGAGTTTCCTGGCCCACACTTGACATACATCTATCCCCCCATGGAGTGATGATCCCACTATGTGGAGGTGCAGAGCTTCAGCAGCAGCTGCTTAGCTCAGTGTGGATGCTAAATCCTGAATATTTAAGCATGTGGAGTCCTATAGCTCAGTAGATAGAGCACTCGCCTTGCAAGCAAGACACCTGGGTTCAATTCCAGACAGAGGGCGAAACCTTGGGCACACTAATAATAATCCCTCCAAAACAAAAAACAGTAATGAATTGGTAATTTTCAATCCACGACTGTTTGTGAGACGCTGCTGTGAGCAATTGGCTGTTGCGTTTCGCCCACAAATATACGGTCAATTCACTTTACAGGCTATTCTGTGAAGCGCTTTGAGACGTCGAGAAGACATGAAAAGCGCTATATCAAATGGAAGGATACAGTCGTGGATTGAAAATGACCAGTTTATTATTGTTTTGTTTTGGAGGGATTATTATTAGGCATTTGGAGTAAGGAAACTTGTCCAAGGTTTCACCCTACCTGGAATTGAACCCAGGTGTCTCGCTTGCAGGGCAAGTGGTCTAACCACTGGGCTACAGGACTCCATTATTATTATTATATTGACTGGGGGAGGTAGAATAATGTAGAATATTTCTGTTCCCATATTTCCCCTGATATTTGTAAAGCGCCTTTCACATCAGGAGGACACCCACCCCAAGGCACTGGACAGTCAGTGTTTCGGACCTGAGCTGGCGGTCGGGATCAGGGAGAGTGAAGAGAGCGGGGGGGGGAAAGGAGGGTGACCAAAAACACGGTCGAAGAGGAGCGGCTTGAGACGGGTCTTGAAGGTGGCATGGGAGGGATTCCAGAGGGTGGGGGCAGAATGGCAGAAGGCCCACCCGCGAATGGTGGGCTGGGCGAGGCGGGGGATGTGCATTGATATTCAGGGTTGCCTTGGCCTGAGGGATGGCTGAATAAAAACAGGACTGCAGTGTCCCAGGAAAACCACCACAGTGGTCACTTGGTGTGATGTGTAACTGAGCTCTGAGTCACAGGGGGCCTCTAGTGTTGCTCTTGTGTACTGCAGCTCTGGGCTTGAGTCAACGGCCCTCCAGTGGTGATCTGGTGTACTGCATGTCTGGGCTTGAGTCACGGGGGCCCTAGTGGTGATCTGGTGTACTGCAGGACTCAGCTCTTGGTGTTCTGAGCTCCTGGGGATGAGCGGAGAGGCTCCCACCAGCCACTGGTGAAGTCCAGGATAAATGATGAATGAACAATGAGGAATTTCCATGTGTAGGTGGGATCCATGGAATTCTCAGTTTGGTTTGGATACTCTGAAGCACGGTGATGGGTTTCCCGATGTATCAGACTAAAACCTGAAGTGGCAGCTTATTTGCACCAGCAAATGTGTACCAACAATTAATAATAATAATAATAATCCTTGCATTTGATATAGCGCTTTTCACGTCGGGAGGACGTCCCAAAGCGCTTCACAGAACACACTGTAAAGTGAATTGACTGTATATTTGTGGGCG